CACATCTATGAAGTCACGAACAACAGGAACTGACTCAACCGGAGGAACCTCCCTACTCACATCATGCACATAGGCCAAATATGATAGGCATCCACTAGCCACTACCCTCCTAGCACGAATAAAAGAGATAACCACAACTGGTGTGCTACCACGAGATCCCTGCCACACCACCGGAGGGATACCATGAATGGATAAGGTAACGGTCTTAGAAAAGCAATCTAAAACAGCGCGATAAGGGGATAACCAATCCATGCCCAGAATCACATCAAAATCAACCATGTCAAGCAATATAAATTCAGCCCGGGTGTCACGCCCCTGTATAGTAACTAAGCAAGATCAAAATACCTGATCCACTACTAAAGACTGACCCACGGGGATCGACACACACAACAGCGCAACCAAAGGTACATACATTATACTCAATGGAGAGGCATAATAAACAGAAACATACGAAAAAGTAGAGCCTGGATTACATATCGCCAAGGCAGGCTGCTGGCATAAAAGAATCGTACATGTGATCACATCGTCTGATGCTTCAGCCTCCGCCCTCGTTGTAGTTGCATAGAAATGACTATGTCTACCTCTGCCCTGACCATCAAACCTACCACTTGACCTGCCACCCCGGGGACCACCCCGTATACTCTGCTGACCACCTTTACGGTCCTGACCTTTACCACGGCCTCTAACTGGAGGTGTTGGTAAAGCTGTGGGAGCTGCATGAGGAGCGGGAGCAATCCGACTATGCTGAGGGGAGTCCCTGGCCTAATGACCCATCTCACCACACTCATAGTAACCCTGTCGAGGGTTAATACAAGAAGAAAGACTACCATGGCCTAAAGAACCCGATTGAAACACCTCGCGGCCCTGACAAGAACTAGCTTCACTCCGACCACCATATGATGCCTGAAGAGAGGCCTATGAAAGTCTGCTAGACTGACCATGGTGCCCGGATGATAGAGAATAGAGAGGTCATAGTCCTTCAGGAGCTCAATCCAACGACGCTGCCTCGAATTAAGGTCCCTCTGGCTCATGATGTACTGAAGACTCCTATGATCGGTATAGATCTCACATCGAACTCCATACAAGTAGTTCCCGGATGGATAGAGTATCTAGACTCATGGGCCTCAGAAAGTATCAACTGTATCAAATCTCCAACTCTCGAAACACAGATGCGGCCGGCAAATTTCAACACTCCATCAGGATCTAAGGTAGCCTGACCACCATCACCCGCTAACACTCGATCTCTAAGGGCCACCAAGGTATCATCCTCAAACTGGCAACCACGGATCCTATCAAGCAAAGAAGACTGAACTTCCATAAAGGCCAAGACGCGTCTAGAATCTGAGATATCCAACCGAACCATGCTATTAGCTAAGGACTGAATGTCCAAAGCTAAAGGTCGATCCTCAACAGATAAGAAGGCTAGACTACCCATACTCACTGCCTTCCGTCTCAAGGCGTCCGCTACCACATTCGCCTTGCCTGGATATTAGAGAATAGATAGGTCGTAGTCCTTCAGGAGCTCAATCTAGCGACGCTGCCTCGAATTAAGGTCCCTCTGGCTCATGATGTACTGAAGACTCCTGTGATCGGTATAGATCTCATATCGAACTCCATACAAGTAGTGCTTCCAAAACATAAGTGCAAAAACTACCGCCACCAACTCTAAGTCATGGGTGGGGTAGTTGCGCTCATGAATCCTAAGCTGCCTCGACGAATAAGCAATAACCCGGCCCTTCTGCATCAATACACAACCCAAACCAACGCTAGATGCATCACAATAAACCATGAAGCCCTCGCCCTCAACTGGAAGAGTAAATATAGGAGCGGTGGTCAATAACTCCTTGAGCCTCAAAAAGCTCGCCTCACACCCCTCTGACCAAACAAAGGGAACATCAGCATGAGTCAACTGGGTCAGAGGTACTGCCAAGGTAGAGAAACCCTCCAAAAATCGTCTGCAGTAGCCAGCTAGTCTGACGTAGCTCTGAAACTCAGTAACTGAGGTGGGCCTAGCCCAATCACGAATAGCCTCAATCTTCGTCGGATCTACCATAATGCACTTTGAGAACAAGTCATAAAGCCGCTGATGTCTCAAAATCTGGAGCACAACTCTCAAATGTTGGTCATGATCACCCCTACTCCGCGAGTATATCAAAAAGTCATCAATGAAGACTATAACGAAGAAATCAAGATAAAGCCTGAACACGTGCGTCATCCAGTTCATAAAGGCAGCAGGGGGATTAGTCAACCCAAATGACATCACCAAGAACTCATAATGTCCATAACGGGTCCTAAAGGCAGTCTTAGGGATGTCGGCTGCCCTAAATCCTCAACTGGTGGTAACCGGACCTCAAATCAATCTTAGAGAACACAGAAGCTCCTTGTAGCTGGTCAAATAGGTCATAAATCCTAGGCAGAGGATATGGAATCTTCACTATCACCTTATTCAACTGCCTATAGTCAATGAACATGCGCATCGTATCGTCCTTCTTTTTAACAAAAAGAAAGGGAGAACCCCAAGATGATACACTAGGTATGATAAATCCCTTACCCAAGAGATCCTGAAGTTGAACACTGAGCTCCTTGATTTCTGCAGGAGCCATCCGATATGGCGGAAGAGAAATAGGCTGAGTACCTGGCTCAAGCTCAATCGGAAAATCAGTATCACTCTCCAGGGGTAAGCCAGGTAGGTTAGTAGGAAACACATCTAAGAAGTAACGAACAACAGGAACTGACTTAACTAGAGGAACCTCCCTACTCACATCACACACATAGGCCAAATATGATAGACATCCACTAGCCACTAGCCTCCTAGAACGAATAAAAGAGATAACCCCAACTGGTGTGCTACCACGAGATCCCTGCCACACCACCGGAGGGATACCATGAATGGAAAAGGTAACGGTCTTAGAAAAGCAATTTAAAATAGCGTGATAAGGGGAAAACCAGTACCTGCCTAGAATTATGTCGAAATCAACCATGTCAAGCAATATAAGGTCAGCCCGGGTGTCACTCCCCAGGATAGTAACTAAGCAAGATAGAAATACCTGATCCACTACTAAAGACTCACCCACGGGGGTCGACACACGCAACGGCGCTACCAAATGCTCAGACATCATACTCAATCGAGAGGCATAATAAATAGAAACATACGAAAAAGTAGAGCCTGGATCAAATAACGCCAAGGCAGGCTGCTGGCATAAAAGAATCGTACCCGTGATCACATCGTCTGATGCCTCAGCTTTCGCCCTCGCTGTAGCTGCATAGAAATGGCTCTGTCTGCCTCAGCCCTGACCATCAAACCTACCACCTGACCTGCCTCCTCAGGGACCACCCTGTATACCCTGCTGACCACCTCTACGGTCCTGACCTTGACCACGACCTCTAATTGGAGGTGCTTGTAAAGATGGACATGAGGAGCGGGAGCAATCCGACTATGCTGAGGGCAGTCCCTGGCCCAATGACCCATCTCACCACACTCATAGCAATCCTGTTGAGGGTGACTCCCAGAAGAATGACTACCATGGCCTAAGGAACCTGATTGAAACACCCCGTGGCCTTGACTCGAACCAGCTTCACTCCGACCACCATCTGATGCCTGAAGAAAGGACTTTGTAGGTCCGCTAGACTGACCCTGTCGAAACCGTCGTCCGGCTCTGTCATGACAATCTCTAGACCTGGGGCAAGAGTCACTCTAGCTGC